TAGGTGAATACATTTCAGGTATTTATTTACATTTCTGCCTCTGCTTAAAGAGTGATTTCCTGAAGATCAGGGACAATGTCTTACTCATTTTCATAGTTCAGGATCCGGTACTATGCCTGACAATTGTTTAATTCAAACTTGTTTAACAACTAAATATATGAATGAATGCCAGTCAACCAAGAATCAGTATTTCAGTAGCTGTAGGTGTAAACTCTTTATCCCATTCTGGTATATTTTATTATTCCATTTCTAATTTGGAAAATTAGCAGCCAATTTTACATGCCATTTTAACTACCTGTGAGTTTTTAGAGGCATTACTTATACACAAAAAAAGGCATTTCTACTGCCAGATTATCTTGTTTCCTTTTAATAACTTGGAACTTATTTCTCACTTAGAAACTCATCCTTGTCTTTTGCCAAAAACTTACATGAAAAGTGTTTATCACATATTTGAGGAACTTCAAATTTTGTAAGATCATCTTTTCTTATTCCTTTCCCATCCCCATGTTTACACTTCTCTAGATAGCATCTTAGAATTGTTTTCCATCCCCACATATAGGACTTTATATTTCCTGTGCTAAGGTCATTATAATTGAAAATATCTTTTGCTAAAGAACATCTTGTACATATGGTAAGGTTGAGGTAAGCCTTGTACTATAAAACATGACCTGACAGTGAAGAAAAAAGCATTTTAAGCTTGCCTAGACGTGTCAGCAGGAATGTTAGGGGTATTTCACTATTGGGGCGGGGGAGATATTTCTAGTTAATTTTGGTCTTTCTCCCACTAACTAATTAACTAACCAACCAAATAAATAAATGTGTGAAATAGTCCTTGTAACAATAATTTCACTTCCTCTTCCTTCATTTTATGTTGTAAACTTCTATTGAGTGTCCACTGAAATTTTATGAACTCTTTTAAAAACTTGGCTTTGCTTATACAACTCTCCCTAAATGTTTCACTTTGCTACTAACCTCTTGTGTTGTCACTGCTGTTCACTTCCTACTCTCTGCTTTTGCTAGCCATATCCAGGGGTATCCTCACAACCTTCTCACATCTCAGTGTTTGTTTTCTTATTCTTTAACCAATTCTGAGAAGATTTTTCTCCCCACTTATTCTTTTGATAACTCCATATATCTAATCAGGTTATTTATCCTTTCTCTCATCACTGTCTTTGATTCCTTCCTTCAGTGAAGAACTATATTATCTACAGAAAATACCGTATTTCATACTTACACCCTCTCTTCTTCCATCTCTCGTGCTTCTTGAAAACCAAACTCTGCTGTTTGCTCTTTCAATATCATTTTCTCTCACCTTCTATA